GAATCCCAGTTTGCCGAATCAAAAACAATTAATGAATCCCATTTGGCTGAAACCCAGTTTTTGCCGAAAGTGAATAAAAAGCAGTGAAACATTAACCAGGATAGGCCGGCCCTGTAAATTCTGCGATAGGAGAATGAAATTCTTTCTTTTGCCATTTGTATGTTTTCTTCTTCGCTTTTTGTTTGCCACGTTTCTATTTTGGCCCAAAAAAAATTTCCAACGTCTGATCGTTCACTACTACTGCTGCTTCCACTGTACGCGATAAAGTAACACATGATTAATTCCAAGGAGATATCAGTGCACGGAGCGAGTAGCCTGGGTTCCAGGCCCTAATTTTAGGTTACTCACTCTTTATTGCACTTAGTGCGCGCCATACATAATTTAATTGGCGTCCCATACTCGATTTCTTGTTTTTCGAATTAGGGCCTGGGCGCGATTTTTTTTTCCGTACGAAACATTTGCATGAAACTTCACTCGGGCCATCTCGGATTGACTCGAGTGAGTACGATACGAGGAACAAGAGCAGACACTTCGCAATGTCGTGACGCTCGAGTTTTACTATTATTGCTCTTTCTATGTTTACCTGCGGTAGGCCTATGAAATTTCACGGACTTATGTGATGTACGTCACTGTGTAACTAACTGTGACCTTCTTGGATGTTATTAAATGTTAGTATATTATCTACAACAACAACAACAACTAGTACCTCCTGTTATACAGTGTAGATAGGTACAGTTATACCAAAGGCTAGAGAGAAAGAGGATAAACTATAGTCCTACAGGCTGAGATCTTACCTAGGCCCCTCCTTAAACTAGGCCTAGGGTCAGGCTGACACAACAGTCACGCTTCACATACTGACATGGACTGAAATTTTGGTGGGGAAAATGGGACAAAATTGAAGCATGAAATGAAAAATAGAGCGCATAAGAGAAATATTATTAAATAAATAATATATCATTCCGGCGTCATTGAACTTGTCCAAACTATCATTGTAATGTAATTAATGCTAAATAATAATAATAATAATAATAATAATAATAATAATAATAATTTGAAGAACCTACAGATACTGTACTATTTACTAGGCCTATAAATAATAATCGCCCAAGGGGAATATCTTTTGTGTTATTTCCCCTTAACGTCGTTTTTTTAATTGTTCTCTAATTCCTCCATTGTCTAAGTTCCCCTTAAAGTACAGGTAATAATAATAAATAATAATAATAATAATCATTTCAGCATTAATTACCTTGGCCTAAGGCTTGAAATGAAGAACCTACAGATACTATTTACTAGGCCTATAAATAATAACTAGCCCAAGGGGAATATTGTTTGTGTTATTTCCCCTTTGTCTAAGTTCCCCTTAACGTACAGGTAATAATAATAAAAATAATAATAATAATAATAATTATTATTATTATTATTTCGGCATTACATATGTAATTAACTTGGTCTAGCCTTGTAATCAAGAACCTGCCGATTACTATGCCTAATATTAATAACTAGCTCATTTTTACATTCATTAATTGATGTTTTGCCATTTTGGCAGGTCTATGGCATCCCAGTATTTTAGAGCTGCCTATTCTCAGCTCTTCTCTTAATTTGAACATAACTGTCATTCTGTTTCATTTGATCAGATGAAGAAAAACGCGCT